AGCATGTCAAAAGCATGGTCCAATACAAAGGGCGCCAGCACGAGAGATGACACCTATTATTAAACCTTGGCCGTTCAAGGGTTGGGCGATAGACCTGATAGGGAAGATTTATCCCCCATCGTCCAAGCAACATACTTTTGTTATAGTTGCAACTGATTATTTTACTAAGTGGGTAGAGGCGGTGCCTTTAAAGGAGATCACCCAGAAGAATGTCATAGAATTTATCCGTGATCACATCATTTATAGATTTGGAATTCCACAAACTTTGATGGTAGATCACGTGACATCTTTAAATGGGGATCAAGTGAATAAATTCTTGAGCGAGTTTGGAGTTAAATTAGTAAACTCCACACCATATTACGCTCAATCCAACGGGCAAGCAGAATCTTCTAATAAGATTCTAAAAAACATCATAAGGAAAATGATAGATGAAAATGTCAGAAATGGGCACGAATGTCTGAACAAGGCCTTATGGGTTTACAGGACGTCGCCTCTGTCAAGTACCAAAATTACTCCTTTCCAACTTACTTATGGATAGGAGGCCGTTTTGCCTATGGAAATCAACGTGCAATCGATCAAAGTGTGTTTGCAACATAAGTTAAGTGATGATGAGTATACCGAATCATTAGTTCAAAACTTATTAGAGTTGGACGAATTAAAATTAGACGTCCTAGATAGATTGCAAGTTCAAAAACGAAGAATAGCTAAATTTTATAATAAGAAAGTTATAGCCAAGTCGTTCAGCTTGGGTGAACTGGTTTGGAAAACAGTACTTCCTTTGGATAGTAAAGATCCAAAGTATGACAAATGGTCTCCCAATTGGGAAGGACCATATAAAGTGAATAATGTATTGCCTAATGGAGCCTATCATTTGGAAGATTTAGACGGCACCAAACACATGAGGTTTATTAATGGCAAATATTTGAAAAAGTATGTTCCTTCTTTATGGAAAAGTGAACAAATAAAAGCGTAACCAAATCTTGAGAAGCACTCTCAGCAAGCAGAAAGGAAGATAAAGCGCCCTCACATCGCCTTCTTAAATGCATCGCTGCAACGACAGGCAAGGAGGCTGAGAAGCACTCTCAGCAAGCAAGGTGGCCTACAAGCACCCAAAAAAATTGCTTTCCATTATTGAACTCCTTATAAGAACGGAGACGATGGGAAAAACTTTGCTGCTGGCCAAAGAATAT